AAATGATCACTAATATCATTTATAAGTAATCCACTAGACATTTTGCTATCAATATCATTAGTAAATATATTATCTATTAGTGTTGCATGCTGGGTTGTTAATCTACTTGGTTTTGTCATTTTTGGGTATAAACTGCATCTATATAATGTGTTAATAAATTCCTCAGCTGCTGTGTGCTTGTTAGGATTCAACAAATCTATATTAAAGTCACCACATATGAACATTAATTTATGACTTATTGACGAGTAATTTTCTTCCATCCAGTCATTAAATTTTTCTATGCTGGCTCCGGGTGCTCTATAGATACAGCTTATTACAACATTCTTCTTTTTTTCCACAAGTAGTTCAACAGTCACACATTCCAGTAAATTATCAACTACCCTAGACATTTTGTCTACTTTCTTATAACAAAAGTTTTTATCTATGTACAAGGCCACACCACCTCCCATCTTATTCTCTCTCCTTCAGCCACAACTGTGTTTTGTGCTCATTAGCAACTTTGAGCTTGCTGAACTAGCATGGTAAGATGAAACTTGTCTGTAAGCATAATAGCATGCTGACGTTAGCATTAATCTCAAAGCACCACTGTGCCATAGGACAACCAGCATCACCACCTTCCATGTGAAAAAATAAGGAACAGCCGTCTTCCATAACTATAACAATACATGACCTACACTTAAATCATATTTATGTAATTGGATGTTATAGTATAATTAAAAATTTAGGATCTTCAATCAGTATATCTGAATTTCTGGTGAAACCAGAGCCGAAAACTATACGTCATCCTGTTAAATACTGTACATTCAGACTGTTGACTACCACTAATGCTGTAAAACTTGACTTGACTGGTGTTTGTACTAGATTCACTGGAAGCTGTGGTCCTGACTCCTCTGTTGTCTGCACAGTTACTTCTGTCTTAGTGTCTATTGATGATAAAGAAATCAACATATAAACGATAAGTGGGCGAGTGAGCTGCAGCACTGAACCGGCCGTATTTAGTGGAGGAAGACGAAGGTGAGACATATAACTGTAGATTCTTAGTCTTGTCTTAAACATATTACATAATGGTTGCAGGTGAAGAACTCACAAACACAAATGCATATGGAATCACCATTGTCACCCACGGGTCCTAACTTGTGAAGTTTAAAGATCCAGCATGTGTGATGCCAAGAAAAGAACTTTAAATAATGATCCAAATGAGTTTCTTTGTGTTCCACTCCACAGATATCTCGTCTTCCTGCAGGTTAAGAGGGATCTCTACCATGGTCGCCTTCTGTGCAAAACATCAGATGCTGCTCTGTTGGCTGCTTACATATTACAAGGTATGACAGTGGAATCATGCAGTTATAGAAAATGGTCTCACGGAAGCATAAATGTCTCCCACTGGGCAGGTGCTGCAACTTTGACAAGATATGCCAAGAAGGGTCATGGTGCATTTGAGCCAATTGTTAGATCTCACGCAGCATTTTGATGAGAAATTAGTTGATTTAATTTCACTATTAATGGCCCTCATCTTTCATAGTAGTGATCCTCAAATGTACATTTCATCTGACAGTAGACACTAATGTATTTAATATTCATAACGTTTGTGACCTCCTGCACACTGACGAGCTGTGTGTGTGTTTGTGCTCACATTCTGCCACATAGGTATTTGTATTATGTGGGTGCTGGCTCATACTGCTGTCTCTTTCATTTGATGGAAACCCTTTATCTTATGTTGAAAATCTAAATTTTAATAACCCTAAGCACCACACAAAGCAATGTACGCAGCTAATACATAAAGGAAATTCCATGGAAAAAAAGTCTGCACGTTGCTCTTTTTGAAATTCTGGCAGTTTAGCACAAAAGTTGACTGTTTTGGCTCTTTTGGTCATCAGGCTCATCAACATGCAGAGGAAGAGTTTGCCTGTCACACACACTACTGAACAGCAGTCCTGCCAGCCTTTTGCCTCAAAGCCAACCCCCGAATATAAATATTCTTGGGCGTCTATGTGCCCACAAACACAGAGCATTTAACTATTGTAAGACACTGGCTTGCTTGGCATATCTATCAACGTAAGGAGGTACAGAAATATTTATTTAAATCACAAGATAACTTGGTAAAAACCTCAGCACTGACTAACTCTAGCTAGATATTTACTAGGTAGTACAGTATTACAGCGAGTGCTGGCAGAGGAAAACGTACCGCACAGGTTTAGTTAAATGATAATCAGAAACTGCGATCAGCTGATTGGATACAGAGAGGTGAATGCCTCCGTCTTCCTTATGTGTGAAGCATTTCTTCAGCATGTCTTTCTGGTTTATATAAACACTGTGAATCCATAATAAACTGGGAGGCGTCTGACTCCCCACTATGGAGTTTTCAACAGAGATGGCTGCTGGAGCAGTACGGCATTCCCCAGAGAGCTGACATAGCCAGACTCCCCATGCAGCTCCTCCTTTGTCTGTAATCTGATGTCAGTGTTTTGTGCAGTAAAGCTGCTACATTTGGTTACAGCATCGCAGAGAACAATGTTTTTTCAGGATACTGACATGCTGCCCAAATAAGTAATGCATGGAAACATTGTGTTTCTTTTAAGATAAAATTGAGAATTTATTGGTCCATGAATATTTTTGGTATTGTCATGTATGTTCTTAAAAGGTTTGTCCTGTAAATAGCAAATATTACATATACCCAATAAATCACCATCAGCTGCTGCCTAAATCTTCTACGTTATGTGAATCTTTGTCAATTTGAGATGTGTCAGAGCTCCTCCAAGTCCACCTTGGCATATTCAGTTTGCATATTGTTTCTGTGTGTGCCTTTATTGTGCACAGGTGCATTCAGAAACCTTGACTTCTTGGTCTTTTTTCTTGTGTATTCTGCAAATGTGTACCGTGAACTTTTCTCTGTTAGTGTCCTCACGCTGACGTATTATCTTTAAACTCCATGTGCCAACTCTGTTTTTATCAGGACAACATACATAGATTGAAGTGAAACCTGCCCTTGGTATAGCAGCTGAGTACAAATCAAATTTAATCAATTTTATTTTAAGAAATCATGAAATTGTTTTTTCACTTACTTACTTTGACTATAGTTTAGTCTGAACTAGTTATTTATCCTTTAGCCCTGGGTGATTTCTTAGGTATTTACTCTAGAAATAAATGGGCCATATGGTCTTCATCCTCAGCCTTTTCTTTGTCTCTCCTTTTCCCATTTCCCAGCTGAAATTGGTGACTATGACCCTGGGAAACACCCAGAGGGCTACAGCTCCAAGTTCCAGTTCTTTCCCAAGCACTCAGAAAGGCTGGAGCGGCGGATTGCTGAGATCCACAAGACTGAGCTAATGTAAAGTGACACCTGAACATGTTCCTGTGTACCCCTTCATTCTTGCAACAGCCACGGCACAGGCATCACAGAAATATAACGAACTCATAGCTCCTACACGCACAGGATTGAATTTGTTATGGTTCTAAAACCATCACTTATTTTGTAATAAAGAACTTTCCACAGCCTGGTATAGTAAAACATGTAGAAAGCAAGAGCAACAATACTTTTCATGCTGTACTTATTGGTTATTGCACACAGGTACTGGCAGTTCTCTTTACGTACTATGTTCATATAATGTATAAAACAAAAATCGATTCACTTCATTAACATATACTTTTTGAGCTCGTATCATGTGGGGCAGCAACTGAGAGGCAGACAGGCTGTAGATGTTTGAATGTTGCCATGAAGCTCACAGCCTGGCTGCAGTTTGGAGGGATGGTGGAATGTTTGTTGCTTCCCTTCTTTGATAACACAGGTCGCCTGTGTACTTCGGAAGTCGCTCTGCTGTTCATCTAGCTTCAGAAATCCAAACCATTCCCATATTCCCATCGCTGTGTGGCCTCTCTGTACTACAGTTTCCTTGTCTTGTTCACATCAATGTTGGCTTCTCCCTCACACTTGCACATAGTGATGAGCAGTGCCGGACAGGTCTGAGGTAGAGATGTGCAGGTTGTATCTGTCCTCAAGGCCTGTTCACGGTTTCCACTTGCCTCAAGGCATCTACAGATGTGGATGTGCTTTTATTCATCATAAAGCTGCCTTACAGTTGAGGGTATGCATTCGCAGACATGCTCCACGCAAGCTTCTGTTTGTTATATTTGGATGAACAACATGAAAAAGCAAAACAAAACATGCACACACCCAGTTAACAGGAATAGAAACAAGGGGGGGAGCGGCACAGTGAGACCCTTTGTGTCTCCCCTGTGCTCATGTTTTTGCACTATCAGCTGGTGCTAGTGTGTAAGTGGTGCTGTATTAACAGCAAAAGCAGCTCTCCCTGGTTGCTGCTCCTTAACATTGGTGGCATTAATGAATTCTGACCGCCTCTGGATGGTAGTGATTGTAAGCTACAGTGTTTGTATTATGTCTGGGGAGTGATATGAATTAGCAGTCAAGTTCAAGTGCAAACCAAAATCCACAGCAACTAGAGAAAGCACTTAGATTTGCCTCTCTCTATCATAGAGCCTTTTACGGATGACGTTTGTGTGAAGTAGGATAAAGATCACACACTGTGTAACACTAGCGCCATTAGCACAGATAAAAATTTCTAACTTGTGATCATGAAACTCAGCTGATGACTTTGTGGTTGATGGCTTCTTTCAGTTGGCCAAACCATAACATGGAAATACCAGTGCACAGAGGTGAGAGATAAAGCCCATCAGTTTTGTGGTAAGGTCCTAGTGCATAACCCTAATCTTTGTTTGCTCTAATAATCGGTAATGAACTTGAATCAACCCTGCCTGTCAGTAGAACCTGTGCATTTTTCCTTTCATCTTCATACACATGCACACACACATACACACACACACCTGTGGCCACATCCTTGTTTACAGATGTGATCCTACAGTGCCACCTATCGATCATTTCTACATTCTTGTTTGACAGCACTTTGTACACAGATGCATTTCCTTGTAGTAGTGTGTAAATGCAGGAAAGAGTTATACCTGGAATGGTTTGGGGGGGGGGGGGAAATTATAAACTAATTATAAACAGCAGACAAACAGACAGCAGAATTATAAACTAGAGATTAGATGGGTAATGGGATTTTACACAACTGCATAAATCTGCTCCAACTTTTAACAAATAATAATTTGCCAGGATACAAGTGTTGTGGTTATAGCAACCAACAATATTCCCTCCTTGAGCCAAACTGTTTGATTGTGACTAATGTGACTCATATTCCAGTTTCAGCCAGGATTAGTGACAGAAGAAAGGATGGACAGCAGACTGATTTGTAATCTTTTATTTGCTTTGGCCAGTGTTCAAGCTCTGAGTACAACAGCTGTGCTACTGCTTTAGTATTTGATCTAACACCCATTATTTATTTCACCTAGCAGTTCATAAATCATCTCTGTGGGTCACACTAAACATGACAAACAAACATACAGAATCCTTTGGACACATCAATCAACTTTCCATATGTGGTGTGCTTGTGATGTTCTGATCCAAAATTGTAATTTCCCACTGAAAACACTTTGGCTCCATCTTATTTATCAAGCGCGAGTGCAGACTTTGACTCAAATGATGACAGATGGTTGTGTCAGAAGCCAGTTAAGACTTTTTTTTTTTTTTTATCCCAGAGGTCAGACTCCTGAAACATCAGAGCTCAACTTCCTCCAGAAGGCTCAGATGCTGGAGACGTATGGCGTGGACCCTCATCCATGCAAGGTGCTCTTTACAAAACAAATTTCTTCTATAATTACAAACTTGAGCTTTTTGTTTTCTTAATGTTAAACTTAATGCCATAATTAATTTTGTATGTTTTTTTTTTCAGTAAAGGTAAGATGAGCTATAAACAAATCAGATAAGATCATTAAGTGTTCTTATTAGAAAATATGCAGAGATTTACAATATAATCGCAGTGATCTGAACCTCTGATTCTACAATCCCTAAAAACATGGGTTTGTGTGTCTGTCAGGATGTGTCTGGCAACCCAGCTTTTCTGGCTTTCACTCCTTTTGGATTCACTGTGCTGCAAGGGAACAGGAGGATCCACTTCCTCAAATGGTGAGCACAGATGAACAGTTCAAACTGACCAGGGACGGCATAGAATTCCTACTTAACACTCATATTCAAATGAAAGTCACAGCATGTGTGCATGTGCCTGGCCACATAAAAGCCATCGTTTGTAGCTTTGTGCATATAAAAAGGTACATAACAAAAATGTTTTAACCAGCATTAAAACGCTGTTCTTCTAGGCACCTCTTATATTACCGTTTGATCACGTAATATACAACAAGGGATCAATAACAAAAGTGCTTCAGAACAAGGTGCCAGAAAAGGAACAAGAAAATCCTAAAATGAATTCAAACTGCTTGTGTGGCACAGCCCAGGTCTTCTGAATCTAAACTGTTGCACTTTTTGTCCAACCAGCTCATCATTTTTGTTAGATTTAGATTGTTGATCCAGCACTGATCAAATGTCTTATCAGTCATTTTTTTAAACATCTGGGAGATCAAATTTGTTCCATGCAATGTTATGGGGAAATAAAAACAGATCCAGGGTTTGCATACAATTTCTGTAAAACTGATTCTGACAAATCTGTAACTGTATGAGGGCAATGAATTTCTCTTGAGAAATGTAAACAGAAATATACAATTTCTACTTTTTTTCCTGATGACGCTCATGCCAGTCCTGTGCGCGGTGTCATAAATGTTAGTCCTTGTGCATAATGTCGAGACAATGATTGGCTGCCAAGGCAGAGCCCTAAAGAAATAAAAAAGTAATCAGTCATCCGTACAACAGGATATTAGTAACCTTTTCCAGACAGCTAAGTCAGCCAGCTGTGACGCAGCAAGCTCAGAGTCTGAGAAATTTGGAGTTTTGTTGTTGTACACATCTGTTATTCTTTTCATTTTCTGTCTAGAATCAATGTGTGTAGACTTCGGTTCACAGGAATCAAACACTGTTAGCCTTTCTAATTTGGCTCCAGTCACAATTAATGTTTTAGAACTTCTATACATTTTTGTCACCTCCTCCTTTCTCTGTCTTTCTGCTTCTGTTACTTGTTTTTCTTTCTCCATCTTCTTCTATCTCTTTATTTTGTTATCATTTTGTCTTGTTGTTTCCATCTCTCATTGTTCTTTTCCTCTCTTTTTGTCTCCATTTTTCACAGGGAGGAGGTGACCAAACTCAAGTTTGAAGCTAAGACATTCCATATATATGCAAATCAGAAGGAGGTATGTGTGTGTGTGTGTGTGTGTGTGTGTGTGTGTGTGTGTGTGCATGTGCATTATTAAAACACTACCTTTTCTAGCCTGTGGAGCTCAGGAAGGCCACAAGAATGGGCTTGTTTTATGCATGGAAACGCTGTCATTGTGGAGCCAATGTAATCATGTGTCATTAATACAGAAGTAAGCTGGTAATGACTGATAAGAAACAAACAGTAAAGAATGTTTACTGTGGATTTTAGCGAAAAAGGAGCAACATAAAGCCTCTGTGTGAGAGTAGGCTACTATCAGTATTCAGTAAATCTGAAAGCTTGAATATCAGGAAAGACTGTGCAGACATTTTCTCTTCACATAGTGGAATTGTCTTAAAAATGAGGAATCAGGCTAAAGAAGGATGTACAAGCCTTTAGAAAAGGTGTTAACATTTTGCAAAAATATAAATGTATAATATACATATGAGCCAATGTACTGGGCTTGTTACAGGATAAGAAGATCATACTCACATACTTTGCACCTACACCTGAGGCCTGTAAGCATTTGTGGAAGTGTGGAGTCGAGAACCAGGCCTTCTACAAGTGAGTCACATGACCTGCAAACATTTACTTCTCAAAGGATGTCACTTCATTCCAGTTTGTAATTGTATTTGTGAATCCATTCACTCACAGGTTGGAGAAGTCGAGTCAAGTCCGCACTGTGTCCAGTAGTAATCTCTTTTTCAAGGGTAGTCGCTTTCGATACAGGTATCTAATGCATGCGGTCTATTTTTAGCACTTTATAGTTAAACAACACAGGAATATTAAGTGTATACTGTATTTACATATTAAGAACACCCTGTGTGTGTTTTTCTAGAAGCGTGGCTAAAAACGTTGTGTGTTGCAGTTCCTATTTTAGTGGTCTAATTTTGTAAAAAATAAAATAAAATAAATACAGATAAGCAGATTTTTCCCTCTGTTTTCTCAGTGGAAAAGTTGCAAAAGAAGTAATGGAACAAAGTGCCAAAATTAAAAGAGACCCCCCTGAAATTCACAGGTATGTGGTTCAGGGGGTTGTTCAGTTCAAAGTATTATGAATGATTTATACATTTTATGTCTCTATGCATTCATACCTGCATGTGGTGGCCCATATTCATGTGTGTTTGTCCAGGGCTGGCATGGTGCCAAGTCGGAGCTGTCCATCCATCACACATGGCCCTCGCTTGACCAGCGTGCCCAGGACCCGACGAAGAGCCGTGCACATCTCCATCATGGAGGGTAAAACACACACACCAACACAGGAGTAGAGAAATATTTTGAAAAGGCGGGGCTGATGTTGATGGGAGACCAGAGCTGCTGTCAACTAGCTATAAAATTGGATATTGTTACTTTTTGTACAATCAAATTGCCAGTTTATAGGTTTTGTCAAGATTGTGTTCGTTACCATTAGTTGTATAATTGACAGTGAAACTGACCCATTATTTTTAAATATATATATATATATACACACACACCTCCTAAGCCTTTACATGTGAGCAACAACTAGTGGGTGTCAGTCAGACTCTGTGTTTGTGTGATATCCTGCTCTCTTCTCACTTGGATGTGTACTTTCACAAACACACGAGTTAGCCAGTGGCCTCAGGCATTGTTTTGACATGTGAAAGTCATCCTGTCAGTTTATAAAGGGCGCCTACTGTACCTTTTGTCCTCCAACAAGCTATTAACCTTTTGCCAGTGCTGTCATTGTGAGTAAGTTTGCTCTTAGTTGACCAGGCTGCATAAAACTAAATAAACTTGTAGCATAGTCTATTCACCACAAATGGGTCTTTTGTCAAACTAGTCCTGACACCATTGGAACAGTGAAACACATCCCTCGTGTTTTGTGCTGTTGCTCTGTCTGCGCTGGTATTTCCACTGGTAATAATATCTCAGGCTGAAAATAGCTCCGGCTGTCAGGGGCCATGCCATGCATGTCACAGTGGACAGAAAGGGGGGACAAGGTGAACTGTGGCACAAGTGGACCACATTCCTGTGACTTGTCTGTTCTTCTGTCTATCTACCGCTGGCCAGCCGCAGTCAGCCTGAAGGAGGAGAAGCAGTTGGTAAGAGAGAGAAAGAGAAAAGAGGAGAGCTGCAAAAGTGCGCTGGAACTTTAGACAGGTGTCCTTTGCACTCGCTAAACCATGGTGAAGTGTCTGATCCGGATTAAGACCAAAGTGAATGTTCACTTGCGAATGATCAACCACTGTTATCGAGATGTGAAGGTGCGCGTGTGGTCTCTGGGACCCAGGCTCTTGGGCAAGGCTCTGGGAGTCCTGCCACTCATGCCCGCCCTCCCTGGGGGTTCCTCCACCTCATCCTCTGGTCCTGGATCAGAACAGAGCTCCAGGACCTCACCCAAACTCCATGGGTGCAGCCCACCAGCCAGTTGTACAGGTAAAAACCAAGGCCAGTGTTTAAATGTAGGATTGTGGAGCTCTGCCTCTCTGTGGTTCTTGAACCGTTGCAGCTATCACAGTGGGTATTGGATTTGAACAACTTTCTCTTAAAAAGTAGTGTTTGAACAGTGAACCAGATAGTTCAGTCATACTGTGCTTTTCTTTGGTATTGTCTGAAAATCATATCAAATTATGGAATTATACAAAAACATGTTGACATCCATTGCAGTGGATATCACAGGTTCCAAGTTTACATTATCTCTGAGTTTAGTTACAGTTCTAAGAGATCCTTGTTCTTATGTTTACTTCAGAGTTAGAGTTCCTACTTGTGTAAGTACTTCATTTAGACAGAGATTAGGGGAGGGCAGGACTGGATCCATTTCTTGAGCACAGGCGATAAGCTAAAAAAAAAAAAATCAATGAAGGCTGAGTACATCTGTAACTTTAAGACAAATTAATCTCAGGATGAACAAATTTCTCTTAGACCTCCTCTTTTACCTCATGTTCTATAAACCCTCCTTTCCACCAGTGACTAATAACAAGCTGTTTTTCTTCATTTTTCATGGGTTTACCGAAGAGAAAGCGGAACTGAAAATACTGTAGCTGCAAACCTTAAAGTTCAATATGCACATAATCGAGTCTAAACTCTAATTAGAATAAGTGCCATATAGTGAATGTTCCACCAATAATACAGACAGACTTGAAATCTTGACAGATCATTGTAATCTTGACAGTTTAATTAGATGGTGTTTTCAATGCATTCCCAAAAACTATCTGTCAGACTATACATGTCTCCATTATTTTCTCGTCTCCATTTGACATGCCTGTCCTGAGTGTGTCCCGCCTCTCGCCCAGTGTCGGCTGGGATTGGCTCCAGAATAATGTACACTGCATTTTTATTTGAATGATGTGACTGGGCTTCATAGTATGCGAGTGACAATCCCACTCTGTTTGATAGAATCAATTAAATTAAGTATAACTGTTCTGTATTTTTACAACACTAACGGCAAGTGGCAACAGGCAGATGTGCACATGCATATTTCTAATCTGTTGTTTGTTGAGATTGATTCCCTCCGAGTGTTTCTGGAGACCTCTTCGTCAAAATTGCAGAAATATTCATACACTATTTTGTTACTTTACATATTTGTCACCGGGATAATTTTTGTGTTACTTTTTCCAGCTACATGTGTGAGGCTGGATATAATATATCTAAACTCATTTAGACCCTAAGGCAGGGGTTTTCAGCCAGTGGTCCATGGCCCCCTGGTGGTCTTCGAAGGCACCGTACGTGGTCCCTGACCATGCATTCAATAATGTACTGTAGTTTCACTGTAGGAATCCTTTTTCTTTTTTAAACCCATTTCTGTATACTACTTGTGGTTATGAATGATCTAATTCATGCAAATATGTAACATTTAGAAAAGCCAAGGTGATTTTTGGGATTAAAATAGCACCCATCTGGTTTATCCATCCCACAGCTGTGGTCCTCAGATTTATTCAGTCACATTGGTGGTCCCTGGGTCACAATTAGTTGAAAACCCCTGGCCCAAGGCATAAGACAGACAGAATCTCTAAATGTGGATGAACAATACCTCCCAGTTGGTAAACTCTCTTCCCCTGCTGTGTGTTTTCAGGTCTGGAGTCCCTTCGTGACAGCGCCCACTCCACACCCGTGCGCTCAGTCTCTCATGGCGGCTCCTTCATGCCTTCCCGTGGCCAGATGGTGGACGGCAGCGAGGTCAGCACCTCAGCCGTTATCTCCGATGAGGCCTACAGCCCCTCAGACAGTGTGCTGCCTACACCTGTGGCCGAACATGGGATGGAGATGCCTTTGGCGCGCCACCTCAATGGCTCTACTTGCAGCATCGATGAGAAGGAGTCGGAGGCAGGAACATCGAAGGAAGGACAAGCAGCCGAGTTTGGGCCTGGCAGGAGGGCACTGCATATGGTCCAGAGCAGGCCATCACCACAAGGCGATGTGGAGGAGCTGAACAAGTTCATCCTGAGCGTGTTACGTCTGTTTCTGGTTACCATCGGACTGCTGTTCGCCTTGCTGCTGCTCCTCATCATGCTGACAGAGTCAGACCTTGACATTGCCTTCCTGAGAGACATCCGCAAGACACCTGAATTCCAGCAGTTCCACTTTGAATACTTCTGCCCTCTGCGGCGTTGGTTTGCCTGTAAGCTGCGGTGGATAGGAGGTTTCCTCATCAGCCAGTGAGTCTGAGTGACAGATGCAGACATTGAGTGACACAACAGAGGCCTCCACTGATGGAAATGGGAGATATACAATAGACAGGTCAGAGGAGTGAGGGGAGGGCAAAGGAAAAAGATGGCAACATGTTCCCAACATTAACTCAACTTCTCCCTGAAGAGCCTTGTTCATTATGTTTGACCATCAAGGAAAGATGAGGCAAGAAAATCACATTTTACTTTGAAAATTCAGGTCAGTTCAAGGTATTTTATTTTTACACAAAGTCACACCGACAGGATTTAATTTAAACACTGAAATGGACAAGCAAGTCTGACAGACTTCATTTATTCAACCATAGATAATAGCTGCCTTTATTTTTGTATTAACTTATAGCTTGTAACATTACTGTAAGAGAATGACACGATGTGTTGGGGTGTGTGTTGTGTGACCTGCGAGATAGTGGCCAGTAGGGCTGCCCCCTAAAAGTCAAGTCATTAGTCAAGAGACCTGTCAGTCGAATGAGACTCTTCTAGTCGAGCCTTTGTTATTTTATTTTATTCAGCCAGTGTGCATTACAGTAGAAAGTAGCCCCAGCCAGTAGTTTGTTGTCTTCTTCCCATTTTGGTGTGCCAAGCAGCAATTTGCTCCATACTTGCCCACTTCAGCTGTGACACTGTCCAATATATCAATGTACATTAAAGTGCTCATGGCATGCTCATTTTGCTCATTTCCAGCCATTTAATGTTTAATCTTGGGTACCTCTAGATTAGCTTGCACCCATCAAAACTCCAAATAGTTTGTAATTATTTCAGAACGATAAAACTCGAGAGCCTCCTCCTGAAAACAGGATAGTTCATGAAGGTGCACAACACCTGTTGTCAGTGTTGTGTAGACATGTGTTTCCCCATCGAGATGTGTTTTCCCTAAACTGAATCCTAACATTATCCTAACCATAGCCACTGAGGGGGGGTGCTACATGAAACCGAATTTTGAACAGGAGAAAAACATCTCGACGGGGGAACAATTTTCGCCACAAGACATGTCAAGGCCAATGCATAAACAAAAAACACTGACAAATAAGCAACATTTTTGACAATGACAACTCAAATCCTACCTGACATGTTGAAGCCAGAATATGAAAGTGGACAGCATGGCAAACCACAACAGCATTAATTCATTTGAATTTCTCCTCCATAGATAGGTAAACAACAGTATACAGATGAAAAGAGGTTTGTAACACTCTAAACAAAGCGGGTAATTGAGAAACCCCTTATTTTAACTGGCATAATGTAGACATAGTAACTTCTCCAGCCTCGCAACAATTAATAACTAAGGTTACAGAAACAAGGCATTAACAGACATGCAACGCGTGTTTTTTTTTTAAACTTACCGTTAAGTCCCACTGACTAGTGTAAACATCACTCCCTTTCAAGTAGCTCCAAGGTCGATAAATCCAACCGGTGGTCGCTGTGTCTTTCCCACACACAACCACATACAGTCACAAAGTAGTGAAATAAATTCCAACAGGTAGTGTAGCACTGACAATAACCATCATAGATTGTTAGACCCCTCTCACCAACCAGCAAACCATAATATGCGGCACACACTGGCCTAAAGCAGTCAAAACAAACAGGCATTGTGCTCCGGGGGAATCCAGCGTTGATGAGCTGATCATTCACCACTGTGGGGGGGTTCACAGGCCGGCTGCTTGTAGATTGGACCCAATCAGGTAAAACAAAAACATTCTAAGACATGCAGTAACCTCAGGCCCTGTATTTTCCTCCACATCCTCTGGTCATAGTGCAGCAGGAGGAAGGAAAATATTTCCACAAAACTGGGTGCAGTCAAAAAAATTCTAGTTTTACAACGGCACTGGTGGATGTCATGAAAGCTCGCATGAATGTGCAACTGCCTGGAGGAAGTCCTTAAAACTATCACATAGGACTTTACATTGTTAGGAAAAAAAAGTCTGAAGAGCAAGAGTTTGAGACTTGTATAAACCCAGTTGCTTCTGCATAGAAGTACTAGAACATAAGTACACCTCATTTTTTGAGCATTAGGTCACGCTTAAGATGATAATTCACAGTTCTAACATTGTAGAGTTTAGTAAGTCAGAAAACAAGAAAAAGCGTGCCATGGGCTCTTTAATTTTGCATCTATTTAGCAAATTGCATTATGAGGAGAAAAGGACAACAAACCCCACTAGGACAAGCCACATAAAAGGTGAGATCTGTACTTTATTAGAAGCATTTTCAAACATTGTGGTCTCCTTATACAAGAGAAAAGACTGTCACGATGATATCTGGTTTTGCATAGCCTAATGTTATTTGAGTCCAGTTTGTTTACCCATCTCCATTAAAGTGCAACACACAGCCAATTGCCAACTGTTTCTGCAACAGGCATCCATGCAAACTGGACTAGGAAGCTAAGAAAAATGCAAGGGAAAACATTTCAGTGAGGAATTATAAATAAGAGGAATTGTTCACAGTGCAAGCTTGCACACATCAAACATACTAACAACATGCACTGTGGTTAAATGACAGGGCACACATCATACAGTATATATATACATACATAAATAAAGAACAAATAGTTGCACTGAAGAGCTGACTGACAGTCGACTGACAAAATCCTTAGTCGGGTACAGCCCTAGTGGCCAGTTTCGCTCATCTAATTTTCTCATGTCAAAGCCAACAACAACATTCGCTATGATTAAATATTATGGATGCTGCTGTGAGAATGAAAAGCATTATTTTTCAGTTGTAACAGTATCTTGTGTTAGAAAAAGTGTAAAATGGAAAACCAAGCAGCATTTACTGAGTGTAGGTCAGTCCTGAGTAGGGGTGTAAAAAAATATTGATCCACTTGAGTATCATAATATTACATTTTGTGGTACTGTATGGATTCTCAAAAACAGTATAGATTTTAATTAATAGTTCACATGCCAAGACTTGCAGCAGCGGTTCATTTTGTGTTGCGTTTAAACCCCTGACCACTAGATGGCAGTGTAGTAATCCACCTTCACTCATCTGACTGCATTAAAAAGTACATTTTTTATGATATTTTATGCATATGGTGGTGTGGTGCTTATTTTGCATTTTTCTAAAATTTGATTTGTTTTTATTGCATCAGCTCACCTTGTTTAATGTATTAATACAGCAAATCGTAACCCCTGTATTGTGATATGTACTGTATCATCTGTTTCTTGCCAATACACAGCCCTAGTCCTGAGTCAAATAATGCTTGCACATATATTTTGTTATATATTTTTCAACCAGCACCAGGCAGCATTTAAACAAATTCCAATAATTTGTTGCAGTAGCTATTTGACCCATGAGAGACATCAGTGCAGCTGTTAGAATGCTTGAATGAGTATTTTTGTAATCAGTGTGACTTAGTTTGTAGTCATACCTCTGTTAAGAGCGTGCTCATGTTACCAATTCTGTCCAGAGCACCAATAAATTTGTGTTGCCCAATGACTATAAATTAAGCTTTTGTAAGGATATCTGTAAGTAATGGTGATGGTAGAGTTAATGATTTTATTAAACTGCAGCCAATTGATGCTATTAACTACAATCAGCTTCTGTGTGTAAGGAAAAGTTGTCACTTTGCCGTAGTTACTTTTACAGTAGTTGTGAAGGTGATGGGACTATAGAGCTGTAGTGATAGTGAAATGCTCGGTTAGCTCTTTGACTTGTACACTCCGTGGGAGTTGATCTTGATGTGCAATACTATTAACATAGAAAACCCAAGAACCTTTCCATGATGGGATCTCTGACCTTGTTTTACCTTTGTAAAAAGTGCTAAAATTAGTACTTTCCCCCCCACACTGCACAGTTAAGATGGCTTGTTTTTAGATCAGGTTCCATTTTGTTCAACACTGCTGTGTTCAAATGTTTGCATTCATATGTAAAGGCTAAACATATTTAAGTAATGTTTCCATTTTTGTACCAACATCTGATCAACACAGGTTTCCTCACAGTGGCTTTTTACTGACTTAAAGCTTTATTTTTACAGTGGATATACTGTATAGTTCTCAGTCCTGCACTTGCCTACACGAAAGCCTAAAACAAGTCCTGTTTACGTCCTACTGCAGACTTTATCATTGCAACTACCAAAGAACAGTTTGTTGTTTCTGTCAGCAGGTGGAAACTCTCACAGTCTGCTGTCTTTATCATTCCAGTGTTGTTACGCGCGTTATCTCACAAGTTAGCCTGCAGTGTGTCTTCACAGCCCAGAGCAATCAACTGCATAATTTAAAACCATAAAGTGATTTTTGTTCCAGTTAACAAAAAAACTATTGCTTCTCTTAAAAAAAAAAAAAAAAAAAAA